AATTTTTTATTAACACGGATATTGACACGAACTCGACACGTATCGAAAGTGATACGACACGAAAATAACACAATCGAAAGTGACACGACACGAAACTGATATGACACGATACGATTGACACCCTTTTATTGCATATATCTAAAATAATGATAATCCTATGGGATTTCTAAACTTGTTAATGCAAACTCGGTTCAGGGGGTAAATCACTTAAACTTCCGTCTTAGACTCTTAATTTTTTTTGTAGTCATTATTAATCAGTTTTTGGATTGCAAAGGCATTAAACTTTTTTTTTATTTAATAATTTTATATTTTTAATAATATAATTTAATCCAATTGCATTTTTCTTCTTATTGGCGAATGTCGAAATTAATAGACAATTTAATTTCATTTCATTTTTAACAATATTTTAAAGAAATTGCAGAGGGTTAATCATATTATCAACTAAAAAACATATATTAATAAAATTTGAGTATAGAAAATTAAATATTAATTTTGCATTACAAAAAAGGTAGAATAATATTTTTTGCTAAAAATTTAATCATAATATCTTATATATTTATTATTAATTTTAACAGATCACTTTTATAATTTTCGCTTAAAGTCTCAATTTTCATTAGGCCGACCTAGTTAACGAGGAATGATACAAGTAATTCAAAAAAATTAAAACGCCAGAAGAAAGATAAACGTGTAAAGTGGAGAGTCCACTAATTCATACATCGATGACCTAAAGGAAATGGAATGCTGGTCACCCATATTCTCGCAGATGCACACTACAATCAGTTCACCAAAATTAGGTTTTGGTCATTTCCACTAGCTTTTGTTGCTCCAAACAAGGATGTTTCTGTTCATTTAAATGGTGAGTGTAGCTTAACCCTTATAGTGGTCAAGTCTATCATCTTATCGAAAAGATATTTCAGATCCGATATTTTTCACACCTCTTTAAAAATCAACTATCCCTTTTTCTTAAGAGACGTGTCTTTAAATTAACTCAATTTACTATAATCGACTCAGAGAGTCATCATCTTAAACTTCAACTTGATGTAACAAAAAAGAAGAAAAAAATTAAGTATAAGTTGCACGAATGTCAATATTAGCAACCAATAAGTCATAAGACCCTCATTGTTTTTTGTGGGTTGCTTTCACTTTAGACCGAGAAAATTTACGTGGTCTTTCATTTTGGACCTTAATCTCTTAAGTTCATTCTGCGAATACTTTAGACATTGAATATTTACAATGTCTTTTATTTTAGACCTTAAACTCTTAAGTTCATTTGGTGAATTACTTTTTGAAAATAAAAAATTCGTCCTTTGAATTCCGACATAGTCTCAATCCAATCTAATTGATGTTGGATGCTAAAATGTTAGGTGGAATGTGTTTGCGTGCATTTTCTATTGAGTGTCTAGATGAAAATTGTTAATTGAACTAAATTGAAACTGTTTTGCCAATTGAAGGACGAAAATGACAAAATTGACAGTTAAGGGGTTAGAATGTGAATCATTGTAAATTTTAGGGTGTAAAGATAATTAATAACTTTTTCAAAGTGGCAAAAGGATTGGAGACGAGTCCACAAATTAGTTGAAGCCATTGGGAATTTTTGAATCCTGATAATTAAATTTTCCTCGCTAATGTTCGTTCAAAAGTCAAAGGCACCCTCCCATTAATGGTAAAAGATAATGCATCTGTCCTTTGATAAGGATTTTGATAAGAGAATTCCACTATCATTACTTATATTATCAGGCCTCCATTTAGTCATGTAATGTGATCCACCAAATTTTGTTCTATCTTTTTGTTACATGGTGTTTCACCTTTTGCCGATTACTCTCTCAAATTAAATTATTTTAAATACGAGAGATTTAGATAATTAAATAACAAGTATAAAAGAGTTTAAGTGTAATTTATCCATTTAATTTTAGACGGTAAACTGACAGTTGTTAGTTGGCAGTGTGCATTGGTACCAAATTCTATCTTTTAGTGTGCAAATCAAGATTTTTTATCTTTGAGGATATAAATTGATATTCAAACGATTTTTCGGAGTACAATTTGAGATTAACTTATATAATTAAGCCAAAATATGATAAGATTTGGTCATATTTTGCTCTAATTAAATTATTCAAATAAGATCAAATTGTTGGATTGCATTTTTTATTTTTAATTGATTCAGATATGAACTGCAAAAAAAAAAAAAAATTATTGAATAATCGAATCAATTTTCAAATTGATTTTAAATTTGGACCAATACAAATCCAATTCGTGGATAAACTTACTATAATAATCATTCTCATGCCATGTTGAAGATAATGTCCTCAGAAATTGCCACTTAATCACCACCAGGAAAACTTATTTTGATTACCATAAGTGCTAATTTGAATGAGTCCTAGATAATAAATTTGAGTTTTATGATCATTATTGATGAAAATAATTAGGATGCAAATGGTAATTTTTCATTTTCACCATTAATGGACGTCTTAAGGATGTAGTTTAGGCTTTCAGCTTAATACATATCTATGTTCAATACTTAATTTTTTCGTATCCACGATTAATGTTCATGAGTTATCGCTAGTTTCATAATATGACTTATATGGCATATTTGAGGGTGCTTCTCTGAAATTTAGATAAAACTTGGGGAATACACTGAAATTATCCTTCTAGTTCCATCAATGGTCATACATATTGGGCCTAAGCCCCAAAAAAAATTGGGCCAAATCTGCATTTAACTCCTTTCCCAAGTCGGTTAAAAACCCAGGCTTCCACCCTCTTCTTGACTTGGGCTAATTAGGACTGATCAGATCGGCCCAGTATGAGACATTGAGAGAGACAAATTGGATAAGGCTTGCCCTTTTATTTCGCGTTCTTGTCCCTTGTCCAAATCCCAGTGAGTGAGCCGAGGCAGACTAGGCACCATAAATTTTGGCCAAGGGCTGTTGTACTAAAAAATATATATGTATCTTTTTGATATCATATTAAAAAATAAATTTTAATCATAAATTTTACTTTTTATTTGTGGTCGTTGATCATAAAAATATAAAAGTGAAATGAAATAATAATAAATTAAGACAATTTGAGACTTGTTTTGTTCTTTTGGTCAAAAAAATAAGGTACGATGACAACAAAAAGAGAATTTTTTATAGAATAATTGGATCCCATAAATTACATGATGAAATAATGGTACTAAAAATTTTAAAAAGTAGTTCAATTGATAATACCGATCACTTGTAAACTTAGACGTCCTAAGTTCAAAATTTAACAATTTTTTAGGATTTATCCATCACGATTACTTTAGTCATGGCCTAAATGACCTCCATTTGACCAAATTGAATAAAGAAATTTGTCGAAGTGCGCGTAAGCTGACTTGAATACTCTTAACCGTTGATAAAAAAAAAATAAAAAATTAGGGTACTAAAATACTATTTTTTGTTATCATAAATTTTTAAAATCTTTGGAAAAAGTTGAGTGCTACCCCCCAAATCTTTTTTGTTAATTGCCTTGCACCCCAAATTATATGACACAATATAATCATTGAATTTTTAGTACAAATTGCTACAACACACTAATCTAATGATCTACTTAGAGTTGGTGCAACAAAATTTGGCAAAAAAGAAAATGATAAGTCTTGTAATGTTGAAAAGCTGTTTGTTTCACGATTTTATTTAGTGTTACTATATTCACAATTAATAATAACATGCTTCAAATTAAAGTATATAATTATAAATACTTCCAAAAGTCATAATACAGCCAGGTCTTCTTTTTTTTTTTTTCTTTTGTAACAGGAGGAAATTTTTGGTTTGTCCCCGACAATTAGAAACGCGGTTATGTCGTTAAGACTTATGAGTCTAAATAAAACTAAGGACAAATCTCGAGTATAAGAACTAATTTCTTAACTCATACACCAGTTAAATCAATATTTTTGTTTTGGTAAAGATTCAAACCCACGAACTTAGATACGATTTGTTCAAACAATTGAAATCTATCATACTAATCAACTATATTTTTTGTCGCCAAATAAATTTAAATTTTTGATCTCAAGTAATAAAACCTTCACAATACAAAGGTAAATTGTAGAACTGTCAATTTTTGACAAAACACGTTAACACAACACGAATCCAACACGAAATTAATAGGTCAGACATGAAATTAAATGAGTCGATGAGTTAAAACAAGTCAACACGCTTAAACACAAAAAAAAATTATGTCGAGTTCATGTCAGAATCAGGTCGACTTGATTTTGACCTGATTAACTCATATATTTAAAATGGATTGACATGATTTGAACACGAACCCGACCTAACCCATTGTAAACACGTTTAACTCATTTATAACAATATAATTTGTCTATTATGTATGACTGATATAGTTTTAATATTATTACTTATTAGTTCTTGCGTTTACTATGGTAATTGACAGTATAATTTTTAACATTATTATGACAGTTTACTAGCATAGTGCTTACTTTAATTTTTGGATTAAAACTTGAATTCATTTTAGTTAATTTATTTGATGATATGTGATATATTATTTGTGAAAAAAAATTATTTAAAATTTTAGATGAATGATTAAATGATGTATTTAATAGTAATAAACAAATGTGAAAACATGTTATGTGTGTTAAACAAGTCTGTGTTATGTGTATTAAAAAAGTTAAACAGATCATATTATTTATGTTAATCTGAAAATGACCTGTTTATTCAAACAGGTCGGGTTCAGATAACTTGTTTAATGGTCAGATTAAATTAGTATTTATATTTCTCGATACAATTATTAAACATGTCAAGTTCAAATTTTAAAATTTTTGACGCAAATTCAAAATCAACCGGACATAAAAATGACTTAAGTCGACACATTTGACACCCATAGGAAATTGGACGAAATACCGGTCGGTGAGCCGTGTCTTTTTGAGCTGGTTTTGCTTGTGAAGTGAGCAAGTCATGTAGGGTATACCAAACAATTAAAAGTACCAAACTGAAAGGAATTTGAGATCTGATTCTGAAACTCAGACTCTAAAAACAATATTTTGGAAGATATATTACTGAGGAAGGTGGTACTGGTACGATTCTTCTTCTATTTCCTTTGTGAATGCAGAGTTTCAGCTCAGAGGCTCTGTATTCATTTCAACAGCAAATGGGTTTTATTCATAGGCACCACCTCCTCCTCATTCTCCTCATTTTTCATGCCATTCTATTGCTCTCTTGTCAGGTCCAATCTGCAGGTAAACATTCTTTCATTAGCCTCCTCTCTCTTTCTCTCTCTCCATTGGCGCAGTTCTAATCTGGATCTCTTTTAATATTTTGCAATTGGGTCCTTTCTTAGTTAGCTGTATTTGGATCAAATTTGAGGGAAACCAATGTGCTGTGCATAATGTTATGTTGCTTTGAGGTTTGATTGAATCAGAATGGTCATGATCTATAGAGTCAATGAAGCATTGTGCATTTAGGCTGATTTGTTGCTTGATGGCCTTGGATCTAATTCATAACCTAATTGGCTTCATGATCTATGCCTCTAATGGGCAATTTTCTCTATGACTCTCATTTCATTCTAGAAAGTAGGAGAATGAACTTTTAGAAAAAAACAAAACAAAATTCCTGAGTTCATATGCTGAAATTTAGATGTTTGCCCCTGGCATTTTCAGAAAAGTCAGAGCATGTCGTGTTTTTTTTTTTTTGTTCAACGGTTAAGAATGTCTGGCCCATCGACTAATTTCTTTGGGTCCGGTTAGAGCCACGTCATCATTCACGCCGGGACTGAAGTATTCACGAGAGATATTCGAACTAATAACTTCTTGGTTTATAACTCGTACCTATTATCGCTTGAGTTACTCGTTCAACTTTCATGTTTTGTGTTTTAGTAATTTCTATTGTCTCATATTGTGGCTTAAACTGGATCCTTTGTTTTTCCCTCTATGCTCTTCATTATATTTCTGCAGCTTAACTGCACATTTTTTGAACAAATACAAACCTAACCCAGGTGGTTTTAGGTGGCCTCCAAGAGACTCTCTCTTCATTGGGGGAAAATCCCCCCAAAACCCAAAAAAAGTGCACACTTTTAAAATCATAGCAATGCACATTATTTGTCCATCTAGTTTGCCAAAGCTAGATTCCTGGACTCCCATCTGAAATCCCTCAGTAATTTTACAAATAAAGCTTTTGAGATTTGATGAAGAGAACTCTCTTGATGACCTTTTTCAAGAGAAACTTCAGAGGAGAGTAAAATGACGCGTTGCTGCATATGAATGTTATCGGGTAAATCGTACCCTTTCCTCTAAATCCACAGCTGAAGTGAAATGAATAGCTCTTTTTGTTGTCTTTGTGTTTATCCATATAGAAAAATGCTTGTAATCAATAATGCCCATACTCAAGCTGTATGCGTTTATCTGGTGGCGTGAAAGCAAGATCTGAAATTGGCGTTGAACAGCAGATCCAACAGATCCAACCTTTGTTTTGCCATTGAAGCCACATAAGTAAAACAGTTTCTTTTAAATGATCTTGAGCTAGAATTCTGTTTCTTGCTTGCTACACCTTTTGGAAATGTGAAGAGAAATTTATTTCTTCAAGGGAAATGCTTCAATTGAAAAAGTGAAGCCTTTAAAAATAAAGCTACCTATAGGAGTTTGGTAATTGTTGCATGACAATTAATTTCACTTCAACCTACAGTATGTATCTGTATCTCAACTCCTCTCAATTTCATTGATTATTGTTGTTGTTACAAGAAGTTGTCAACAAAATTTACTGCAGATGAGAAGGCAAATCTACTTCAGGGCCTAAATAGCTATCGATCATTGGTGAACCTGACTTCCCTTGCTGAGAACAGTAATGCAGACTGCTTTGCCGATGAACTAGCAACCCAGTTCAAGAATCAACCATGTTCGAACACTACTGGAGCAGATACTGTTCCAGGCACCGAACCTCAGTTTTCCAACTATCCTGACCTACTCGCCAAATGCCATCTAAACATCACTGACACTAGAGATGGCGTTGTTATGCCTGTCTGTGTTCCTAACTTAGTCCCAGCTCTTGTGCTCACAAACTATACGGAGTCTCAGTACACGCAGTATCTGAATGACAGCACTTACACCGGAGCTGGTATTGGTTTTGAAGGTGACTGGATAGTGGTTGTTTTAAGCACACACACCACTGGAGGAAGCTTCACAACCGACAATTCTGCAAATTCAGCTACTCCTGTTGGTTTGACTAAAAACTTTATACCTTTGTTGTTGGGGTTCTTTCTTCAGTTTCTTGCCTTGCTGAGCTGATGTACAATGGTATGCTTGAAGTGTTCTGTTTATTCATCGGCTGGTGATTTCATCAGACCCCTTCTTTTTTTTTTTTTTCCTGGCATTTTCAGGGATTATGTAAGCTGAGAATCACTTAGGATATACTTGCTGTTTATTTCACATTTGACACAACAATTTGACAATTTCAGGTTTGTTAAGCATTTCCATCCATCCCTTTATAGAATTTTCAGTGAATTCCTGTGTTCAAATTTCTGCTTATAGTAAGACATTTACAACGTCATCAATCATTCACAATGATGCTCGATCACCGATGACTTCTCGTCACCATCATTTTTCCCAATGAATCCAAAATTACTAAATTCCCAGTCTACACTTCACCCTGGAACTTTAGAAGCAAAGGGTATCATTGAAGATTTAAGTGAAATTACACGACACAGGTAATGTAACTCTCACCCATGTGAGCTCTTTTTGCCCCAGCTGTTAAAACCAGGCAAAAATTTTGCCAAGAGTACTCTTAATCTGCAAAATGTGTCTATTTTGATAGCAGAGGGTGGCAGGGACACAAACTCCTATCTTGAAGCAACTTATTCGGTGCCCTGCTCAAGAAAGACAGCTTGAAACTTCACTCACCAACATTTTGCAAGTTAATTTAAGGAGATCTTGAGTTTCCTCATTGAATTGAACCTTGTCCTTCTTCATCCGCTCTGCTACTATGAGAGGCATTTTACCAGCTTTTGCATAAGTTCGCAGAAGCATATTATATACCTCTGTATTAACATGACCAGCTTTCCGAAGAGTAACTAACAATTGCTCTGCACCCTCTATATTGCCATGCTCCTCAAGGAACTTAAATACTTCTCGAACCATCCTGTCATCAGGATTCCATTTCTTGACACTGCCAACCGCTTTCTTAAAACAATCTAGAACTTTTTCTATCTTCTTTTGTTTCAGATAACCCCACGTAAGGAGCTCCCAAGTAGTGTAACTAGGATTGATCCCTCTTTGCCTCATCCGATTGTAGAAATCCTCAGCCATTTCCATCTGATTTTTGTTGATGTATGATGCAAGAAGTAAATTGGGAACCCTACAGTCACCAGTCCCAGAAACAGATTCCCACTCAGTGTAAAGTTTCTCTGCCTCTTCAAACTCTTTAAGCTTGACTAGAGAAGATATCATGCATGTATATTCGGCATCATTCATTTTACGGAAGATTGCCTTCATCTTTTTCCATAGCCGGTAAACCTCATCCTTATTGCCCAAGTTTGTGTGCAAGCTAACAAGGGAGGAATATGCTACTCTAACTTTTCGAGAGGCCCTTTTCTCCATTTCTTTCAGAGTGGAAGATGCTTTTTCATTGAGTGAACTTTTAACATACATGCTGGTCAGTGTGCTATATGTTACCCAGTCCGGTTCTATTTTAGCCTTCTTTAGCTCAAGAAAGATCTTTTCTGCAGCTTCAACATCATTCTGCGAGGCACACATAGTCAGCCACAAATTGTAAGTGACTACATCTGGTGAGGTGTTCTTCTTTAGTTCCCGTATCACTTCAGGAACCTTCTTTAACTGCCCATTTGAGATGTAAAGAGACAGCATGTGGTTGTAAGGAAGGGGATACTTCAAGAAACCACGTTCTGACATTTCCTCCATCAGATCCTCGGCTTTAGACGACTCTTTGTGCTGTACATAGGTGTGGAGAAGGGAAGTACAGGTAGGTTGGCCTTTCATTTTATCTGGTAGATCTTCGAAAAACTTTTCTGCACTGGTTAAACCACGAACTTTTGCAATCAAGTCCAAATGTACAGCATAGTCTCCCGGCAACAGTTGAACATCTTCTTGAGATGTCATCCATTCACATATCTGTGCAAATAACCAAGTTGAGGTTGTCATTTTTGAGGAACGTAGTGCTGATAATAATCTCAGTGAAATTTAGCGAAAATGTGTCGCCTACATTTATTTTTTGTTTTTCCTTGAAAAGTCTAAAAGAAATAATGGTACATAATTCCTCATATATTAACCTTTTTCCCTTATTTTAAAAAATTAAATCCAAGAACATCCTGTAAAACATGATCGGAACATTTGTGAGATGGCTCCAACATGCATATTTGCAGACCAAGTGAGTCCATAGGGATGAAAATGCATGCTAACCTGACAAGCAAATTAATATAACCAAATATGGATGGTATAAGAAATGAGAAAACAAATTTTTGTTACAATTCTTTCAACATATAGAAATCCTAAAATGAGACATTAACAAGTCTACAGAAGCAGAAACCAGAGGAAAATGGAATTCTAGCTGTAGATGCTGGGTATGTTTAATTCCTGAGTATAAACATAGATGCAACCCGTAGGGTAAACCAACTTGATTATGGTGTGACAAGAACCATGGCTGATAGCAAGGCAAACCTCAAACAAGGCCTTTACATAGCAAGGCACTTTCATTTCTCATTTCCTCCCTCCTTTCGTAGTATTTCTGTAATTCATACCAGTCTGTTACGCCCACAATGCCGAGCTCAATGATGAGTGACCATAACCAATCCAGCCATTTACTAATGTTCATAAAACTAAAAAAGGCTTACCCAGAGGCTCCCGCCATAGGGCCTGGAGAGGGTTAGATGTACGATATACTGTTTCTGCGACTCAAGTCCGTAACCTGATCTCCAACTCACAATGGAGCAACTGTTGCACCAAGACCCAGAAAAAGGGCATTCTCATTGAACACAACCCACAGTTCAGCATTACTAAATTTTTCTTTGAACTATTCACAGTGAAGCATTTCATTGTTCAGTTTTCATCTTTCAAAGTTGAAACCAAATGCAAGCCTAGTTCTTTCGTATTTCCCTTCATTCCTCTCTCCCAATGCCAAACACGCACTCAAATTCGAAGCCCACAATATCAATTAGACATATACTCAGTTCCCAAATAATAAAGTGATACTTGAGCATTATATCATCGCCAATAATACATATAGTTAAATATGACTCTGTGTGTGTATAGAGAAGGGGGGATGAGAGAAACTAAACCTCGAGGGCGTGTTTGTAGCGCTTAAGCTTTCGAAGCTCACGGACGATGCGATTGAGCTCGTACTTGCGAACAGCGTGCCCTTCCTCTTTCCATTTATGTATAGCAACGACGGCGCTGCGTTTCGCGTATGCGAGACTCAGAAGCCTCCTACCCAGTGTGTCTCGGCCACCGGTTCTTGTGACGGTGGCTTCAGAGGATGCGAGATCCGCAGTCCTAGCAGCTTCCGTCGAGAAGTAGCGTACGGCGGCAAGGGATGGGCGGAGGCGACGGAGCAGCATTTGTTAAACCCGCGATTTGTAATCGCTATGTTCGTCGTTCAGTGGATCACCCTCTTCAAAGTTCAAAATGTCTCAGTGATCATGGGCCCTGGTTTCTAACAAAGGGCCCACGAGTCTGGTGGAATACAGCCCAAAAATACACTGGGCTTTCCTTCTGCACTAACGCGTTTCATTATTGGGCGTTTAACCTCGTTGGCCCAGGGGTTCTACACATCCTCATTTGGATTGACGATCGAATTTAGTTATTTGGTATTAGTCCGTTTTAAACTGGTTTTTTTTGGGTTCGGTCTGTTTTGAGCTAGTTTGTTTTTTAAATGAACCGAATTTGAATAATTTTTAGACTTATTTAAAAAAATGTGAAAATTGGGGTTAAGTTCTCTTGGACTTATTTGAGGATAAGTTCATTTTTTAATCTTATTAGTAAATAGTTAAGTCTATTTTTTTTTAATCTCAAAAATATTTCTAACGGTGTTAGTTTTTCCATATATATATATATATATGGAAACCGGTGATTAAATATAGGAGTGCTTGATTTACGACAATAAATTAGAAGATTTCCTTAATAATTCAAATTCTTATCAATTTTTGTTTTGTTATGCATTTGAATAACAGGGTTTTGTGTTTTGGGGGAAGGGGGTGAAGATGATAGAAGTAGTACCCAGAGTTCAAAATTGTTTGTAGATGGACTACCAGTTTGAGTTAGAGATTATGAAACTATAATTCAAGTTCTACTTACTATTTGTTAGAGTTCGGATTGTTCTTGAATTTGTGTGTTGGAACAATCAGATCTGTTGAGGTATTCAGTATAATTGTTGTTTTTTGACATTGCCATAATTTGTATGTTACTTGTCGGAAATTTAATTTAACTTATCGGAATTTTTACTGCGACATACTTTACGACCATTTGAGAGTTATTTTCTTTATTCGATTGGCGATTATATGATTTGTTTATTGTTGATACGCCAAGCCACAGTCATTGTATATTTGTTCTTTATCAGAATCTAGTAAATTCATTTTTATGTTTGCACAGTCATAGTAACATGAATGTTAGTGGTATAGACATAATGCAGTACACAAATTTATTTTTTTTGAAATTAGTTTATGTTTTTATTTTTTATGTTACCATTTGTGTTTTATTGGAATTAGAATTGACATGTTTTCGTATTTCAATGTTTTTCCTGTATATTTGTTTTTTTGGTTGAAATAGATGGAGGATAACATATTAGGTTGCTGTCAGTATTCCTTTGAGACTGTTATTATTAGAATTTCAATGAATTTTCACTATTGATGATGTGTTACACGGTGTTTGTGACAATTAAAATGGTTTGAGTTCTAGTTGTATTGTCTTGTTGTACGCTATTCTTGGGCATCCGCATTAAGCTTTACAAAATGATCATGACATAAGAAACATGTTTTTAGTTGCATGGTTTGTTTACCTGAGTTATGTTGATGTTACAGTTATTGTAAAAGGGAATAAGGTTTGTGATTTTGAGGGTGGAAAAGTTGTAGAAAATTTTGAATTATCTGTTGACACTTTTGGTCGTGAGGATGATTTTCTCCTTCGTTTTTGTTCTCACAATGAGAAAGTTTTGTTGATTGATAGATGGTCCAATGGAATAGTAGACATTGGTTAGAAGTTTGAGGGAGGAGTTACTGATTTTTAAAATACTTTATGCAAATATGCACTCGAAGTTGATTTTCAGTTTAATTATGTGAAGAATGAAAAAACAAGAATAAAGGCTGAATGTGTTTTGAAATATTCTGTTGGATGTGAGTGGTTTGTTGTTGCTACACTCCAAAAGATTAATTGGTGGTTTTACATTAAGAAGTTAAACAATGAGCACACATATGGTGCGGCTACACGTACGACAAAGAACAAAAGAATGACTTCTAACTTGGTTGGAGGACTTATTATTGACAACATTATGCAAAAACCTGACACACGACCAATTGATGTGAAAAGTATGTTTCTTTCAGATTATAATTTGACTATATCATATGACCAAGCTTGGATGGGTGTAGAAAAAATAAGGGGTATGCCTTTCGGGGATCATTCATTGCCATATCAACAATTATGATGATATATACATGCTACTAATTAAAACAATCCAAATAATCATTTTGTGTTAGAAGGTGACTCAGACATGCAGCGTTTTAGTAGGTTGTTCATATTTTTTAAGACAAGTATACTTGGATTTAAGTATTGTCGACCCATATTATTTATTAATGGTACATTTTTAAAGTGGAAGTATAAATGCATTATTTTGTCTTCGACTGCCAAAGATGGCAACCAATGTGATTTTTGATTTAATTTAGTGTTACTGATTTTATTTTGTTGTTACCTTTTAAATTAAGTAGTATATGTTGATTATAATTTTTTTGCTTGTATGTTACTGATTTGATGTTACTGTTTATATTGTTGTATGTATTACAGGTTTGTTTCCGTTGACTTTTGTTGTTGTTGATTCAGAGAATGGGTGTGACTGGCCTTGGTTTTTGCAACAATTAGTTATGATTGTTGATAATAGTAGGGACTTTACCATTATGTTCGATTAGAATGTTAGCTTGATGGAAGCAATGCCAAAGGTATTTCCAACAATGCACCATACTTTCTGCCTACATCATTTTAAAAGCAAATTTGAGAAAGAAGTACAGTGGGGTTCACTTTACCCATGTATTTCGTGAGTGTATGATTTTCTTGTTTATAATGTGTATTTATGCTCTGACAGAAGCATTTTTCAATGAGAAGCTTAATGCATTCTGATGTGAACGAGGAGTTGTTGCTGGTAGGTTCTTGGAAAACCTTTCATTAGAAAAATGGGCGAATGCATTTTTTAAGGGAAAACGTTATAGAGAGATGTCTTCAAATGCAATAGAGTCGTTCAATGCTTGGATCACGAAGTCACGTCACCTACCTACCACAAGCATGATTGACACAAATAAGGGTCAGATTATAAACCAAATGGGCTGCCGATTGAATACATCGTCACATTGGAACGATGTTAATTGTCCATTTATTGAAGCCAATTTTCAAACTGCTTTCACTAAGTATCATTCCTAGGTTGTTAGAGTGTCATCATGTCATGGATTTGAGGTTAATTCACATCCTTCCATGACAATTGAAATTGAGAGATGCACGTGCTCATGCTATCAATGACAGATCAACGATTTACCTTGTGCCCATGGTGTGACTGCAATTCAAAAGAGTGGATGAAACATCAATGAGTTTATTGATTAATTACTTTTATCAGGTTACTACTTATCGATTGTGTTATTCTTAACCTATACACACATTCCAACACTCGATCGTCCTGACCTTTCAGCGGGTGATGTTAATATATTGCCACCATTGTCAAAAAACACAATCAGGCCGTCCAAAGAAGCATATATTTAGGTTTAGCGGTAAACTTGTTAGGAAAATTTATTGTGGTCGTTTAAGTAGTCATAATAAGAAGACTTATAATGAGCATTTGTAAACTTTTGCATTTTTAAATTGTCATGTTACCTTTTATGAAATAAGATGTTATTTTTTATTCAGTTTTTGAGTTTGTCGTGTTACACATTTGGAATAGAGTAATGTTATATATTCTAAATTTGTATCCCAAATCAATAAGGATAGTTGGATCAGTGGGTCCCAATTAAAAAAATTGATGGGATTCACTCATCTAATGATCCCCATTCATTTGAGATACAAATTTGGGTTACAAATTTAGGATACATAGTATTTTCCCTTGGAATATCACGGGTTATCTAGTGTGATAAGTTAATAATGTAGTATTCTTCTTGCATGGACAAAATATGATCCATGTTACTATTAATGTGACCATATGTATTACCAATAATGTTACTGTCAATGTTATTATTTAATGATCATTAGAGATAGTAATTAATCACGCAACAATATTACAAACTCATTTAAAAATGAAAATTAAAACAGGTTTTATGTGATTCCCTAATTAGGAATAAATTTAAACCACGTTACTACTCATGTTATTTTTTTGGGTAGATAATCAAGACAAAGTTTCATCTGTTTTTCAAACAAATATATACAAATAATACCAAAGCATACGTATAACAACATATCACTTCTACATACAACACCAATTCAACATTCTAAAATCAAATAGTTTAGCAAGTTGGAACATATTTGAGCGTGTTATTATTTGAGTTACAATGTGGACAAAGTTTCCTTTGTTCCTCAAACATTCCATTACAAACAAATACACAACCCTATATCAACATATCAATTTAATATCAATATGTAACACCACACCACATTTCTAAAGGTTTGAATACACCATTTCAACCAATTATCAACTAGCAAACAATTACAATCAATTTTTAATCAACCCTACAACTAGCTAAAAAATGAATAGCTTTATAACATCACAAATTCCTATTTTTTTGGTATATCTTTTTTAATCTTGATCTTGTCTTGTAATCTTCAACAGTCCATACATTCTTATAGTTTATGAATTTAGACACCATCTCTATTTGTAGAGCTGTAAGTTGGGATAGTTTCAGTTTCTCTTCTATTTCTTTTTCACGAGCAAGTTGTTTCACTAAGTAACACACATACAATTCATAGTCGACCATGCATTCATGTAATTTGTTAATGATATTTAATATAATTCACTTAAAGGTATACTATTTTATTATTTATGTACGTGTCTTCTCTTTATTGAGGGCATTTTTCATGTAAATATACTGGACAGTTGATGTCTTGCATGCTGATTACAATTTCTTCTTTTGTTTTCAAAGACTTTCTTTGTCCTTCCTTGGATGGTGTCTTCACGTATGTTTTTTGCCACAATAAAAAGCATGTTAATTTTGCACAACATACATATCAAAAAAATGTGGGTTATTAACATTTAGTTAACTTACCAATATTTTGGCATCCTCAAACCAATTATCCTTTATTCCCCTATGAGGTTTTAAGGAGTTGTAGTGGGTCCATTCCCTTGCATCTATATCCAATACAAGCAATATCCAGTAGAATGGTATGGGTTGGTTGCGCTGCCATCTGAATTCATTTGGAATACAAGTAATGACCAAACTTGCCCCCGTTCAGGTTTTTGTCTATCTCAATCTGTTGAGAGTGTTCTTATTTTTCAATCGTTACATATGTCTGCACAAATACATAAAATTTAGAGGCCGAACAATATCAACAGAGTACAGTAACACCAAAGTAAATATATAGTAACATGAATGTTACTATTACATTCGTGTTACTATATTTGTATTACTAGTGCAATAACCTGGAAATTAGATTACAATGTAAGTTACTAACACTCACCCAACATAGACTGTTGAAAAAGAAATTTTTGTAATTTGCTTCCTCCATCAAGATTTCTCCCCAACAATCAATTACTTGAGTGAGAATATGATTTTGTTAATTAACATAGATTCTAGGTTTTCATATTAATTCTATTTTTTTTTACAGTCACAATGCATAGTGAATTACATTACTGTGAAGCTCTTTCCCATCCATGAGTTTCAACACATCTTTAACATCAATGATATTTCTAAACTTTTTCTCACTCCATAACGTTGTTCTTTTAATTAAAAATAATACACGTTAATGAAATATAGTATAAACAACAATATGTAGAAAGTGTTTTATAATGATCATTAAATTACTTACTTTTGTCCTTCAGTCTTGTCCATCTGATGCAATTTGTCGTACACCTTTAATCCTAATTTCTTGCAAACTTTCCATCTTCGAGCTTCAAGTCTCTTACTTTCTAGCTTCTCATTTGGCATTATAAGATCCAAATCATAAACATCGATACAACTCTCTAGTATATTCTCCTTTCATTTAATTTTATCCACTTGTTTCTAGCCTTCAACTTGATTCAAAATTTTCTTTGCTCCTTTTTTTTTTTCTACTATATTCATAATTTTCGTCTCTTTTTTTTTCTTGCTTTCCCTTTGATTTTTCTCACCATCGAAATTTGTTCTTTACCTTCAGTGGGTTGAGATTTTGATAGAGTGCTTGGGTATCTCTAAGTAACTACATGCACGGTCATATCAGCTACAACATCATGCAGATAATTGTTCTCTTCTTTAATTCTGACACCCTTGATTTTAGTGTTTTAATTTGATCTTCTTTTATTTATTTATTTTTCTCCATAAGATCAACTAAAACTTTCAATTCTAAAGTCTGGTTGTTCTTGTCAACAAGTTTCATTATGTACCCTTCAATCTCTTTCAATTCATTCTCCATTTGGTTTCTTTCGATATTCTTGATGATAGTTTGTAGTGTTTCGTTCTCCACAGTCAGTATTTGGATATGAAATTTTTTCACCTTATTATCAACCATTAATTTCGACACACCTTCATTGTCATGTGAAGTTGTTGTGACTCTTCCTCATATGTTAACAATTCATCTGGTTCAAGAAATGCTAATTCTTGAATGACCACATCAACAAATGCATTGAATTGTTGAACGTCTGGAGTCTCTTTTTGGACATGATGATCATCAATAGGAACATGTAATTCTCCATCACTTTCATGCACAATATCATTATCCACAGTATGATCGTCAGAATTAACATTAGTTCTTCATCTGTCTCTTCCAAATCAAATTTTAAAGCACGTTTTCTGGCAACAGTGCATAGTTGTGCAATCACCACACTATTAGGAACATCCTTGATATTTTCCCGATTTGCTTTCATTAAGCGTTTCTCAACATGTGTTTTCTTCAGTTTCCTTTTGAGAACCTGATATTTGCAAAATTACATTAGTATTAGCGTGGATATTATATATAAGAAATGTTCAAATCAGTTACTCATTCTCTATTTCATAAAGTGACATGGAGAGTGTCTAATGCATCATCATTTAAATCATCCAGAGAAGAATACTAACATACACTTCACGTCCACATACTAACATGCAACTCATGGAATCATGTTCTGCATAGTGACATGCAATGCAGTTCATAACTAATGCCTTTAGTAACATAGTGATCATAAAATAACCTTGTCATACTATCAAGAATATGGAAACATCAAAAGTAACATGATGTACTCCTATTTTTAAAATACTTGATCACTTGTGATGTCGGATAGTTTGTTTTGTGCAAGAAACGTCCAAAGTTTTCTTAAATCTCATTTTATAAATCTTGAAAAAGTGTCCATCTTGTCTGCCACGATAATAGATACGTGTTCACATTTATTTAGCAAACATCTAAATATTTAGCAAAAAAATGTGCATAGGTAACATGAGCAATGATAACAAAGTAGCTTATGTTAGCATAGTAGCATAAACACAGTAACATTAACTCCTAAACGTAATTCATTAGCACGTATTATAGTAACATCAATCCAAATAAAATCTTAATTTTCAATGTTACAATGTTTTATAATTAACAATACATTAAGCATAACAATGTCCAAAGGTAACTTGAACAGTTGAGGAAATTTGTGATATTATATTAACCTTAGTTTAGTAACATCTTTTACATTATTTGAATAAGAAGGACTCACTCCGAATTTTCAATTAAAGTAAACAACAACCCTGTGCAAAATTTTGGAAATCCAATATGGTGCATCAAAGTTTCTTTGGTCACTGTAGCTTCTACTTTTGTTCTTACGACAATTACACAACGACTCAATATGAGATTCTTTTCCACGAAAAAACGACACGCAAATTGAAGTATGACATCATTTCAAATAGTAGCACATAACCGTAAACCTCATTTAATTAGCGTCATTTAAATAACAATTGCAAACCTCATTCAATAACAAACACAAACCTTTACAATAACAATTGCAAACCGTAATGTAACATTTATTTTTTTCTTCACAGTAACATCAAATTTTAATGCATAGTAACACGATAACTTTAACAAAATTCAGTAAGATATATGTTATACTGTAACATCAATGAGATATTTTCTTCCTTGTTTTTTCACAAAATACGGTTCACAAATTGAAAAATTACATTATTTAGAGTAATAACACATAATCGTCAGTTCAATTAGGACACTCATCACCACTTGTGAATGTCAAGACATCGAATATGTAAAAATGATTTTCCTTTTCCCTCGCAGTAACATCAACTTTTTTTTACAAGTAACACAATCAAGCATTTTTTGATTGTTTTGCCCAATAAAACTTCCAAAAAATTAAAACACATATTATTTAATTTAGTAACAATGAATCGCATTATGAAATTAGAAATGCAAAAACAATGAAAATTTTGAAAACTTGATTATGTAGAATATTTTTTTAGACCCTATAATGAACAACAACTTTTCTATAAAATCACATACCTTAACACTAATTCTGAATCCCAAAAGATTGAATATGTTTTGAACACCAAGAGTGAACAACAACTTCGTCAATGGCTTCCACAGTAAACTGACATAGTAAATTGGCATAGTAAAATCGAATTGGTTTAAACTGAATGTATTCAGAGTCAAATTTGAATGTGAAAAGATTTTTTGGTAAATTTTAGTTATTTGATTTTCAGAGAAGGAAACATTGTGGCTGTGAAGATTGTAGCCTGATTGGAAGGTGACTATTGCTGGAGTAGTAGATTGACTCCGTCTGTGAAGAGTTTCCTTCAAACGTCATTTATTTTTTTTCTAAAGGGAAGGGTTAGAATAGTAAAATTGACAAAAACAGACATAAAACCAAATAAATTTTCTTGCAGGACTATCTCCAAATAATTCTAGAGGGACCAGCCTCCAAATTTTCTTAAAAAAATTAGCTTAAAATGCTCGGTTCAAACTCGTAAAACTCAGCTCGTTTATATGTAAAATAGTTAAGTTATTCGGACTCGGTTCAAATTTGGTTCAGTGACAAGCAACGAAGCAAGAATAAACCACATACAATCGAAAAGAAACGACCATAATGAAATTTTGGAAATAAAAGAGGGTGTATCTGAAATTAATAAAAGGGCGTATATACTGTAATTTATCCAACGAGTAATTCATACTTGTTTTCCAAGTAGCCCAACACTGCCATGAATTAGGGCTTGGACAGTTAGTCCAGTTTCCGAACTCCCAACCCGACTGTATATATTATGCTCAAATAAACAACAAAAACAGAAAAAGCGAAAAACCACGATCTCATTCTCACTCTCTCTCTATCTCTCTCTTCTTGTTTATGTCCGTTACAGCTCCGATGCACGGCCGCACCAGCGTACGCGTCGTGGTTGTCGGCGACCGTGGCACCGGAAAATCGAGCCTCATCGCGGCCGCTGCCTCCGAAAGTTTTCTGGAAACCGTGAAGCCCGTTCTGCCACCGACTCGACTCCCTGCCGATTTCTACCCCGAAGGCGTTCCCGTCACAATCATCGATACTGCATCCAGGTTAACAATTGTGATTTTCTTTGGTAAATAAACTGGACTATTATTGATGGAAACATAGAGTTTACAAGATTAAAGCATTAAGGAACAAATAGCAACCTAAGCGGAACAAAGAAAGAAAGATCAATGCAACTACAAACAAAGCCAAGCAATTGCAATCCCATATATTTTACTTGTTATTATTTACATGTGACTTTCATTCTTTTACTTTTTCGTTGAGTTTTTGATCGATTTCTTTTTTCTTTAATGCAATTTTTGATGTAGTTTGGAGAGTAAAGGTAAGCTCGCTGAAGAATTAAAGCGAGCCGATGCGGTGGTGCTAACCTATGCATGCGATCAGCCTGCAACGCTTAATCGTCTTAATACTTTCTGGCTTCACGAGCTTCGTCGATTAGAAGTATGCATCTTGAAATTTGAACGGCTAAACGATATGTTCTGAACTTTTCTTGTTTAGTTGATATTTAATTTTTTTACATATTCCTTCCTTGGTTACATGTAGTTGTTTAACCTCAGATTAAAGTGCGGGGTTAAATCCCGTAAGATAAATTGTGCACCAAAGAATGCGACCTAACAGCACAAGCTTTTTGAGTTAAGTTAGGTTCCAGTGTGTTCGAGGATTACTATGGTGGGCTCCCCCATCTGCCCAACGACGACAACAGTGTTCTCTCTATGTCTTCTATGACTAAAGAAAGAATGTTGATAATTTGTTGTATTATTATTTGTGCATAATGTGTAACCACTGGATAGGTCAAGGCACCAGTGATTGTGGTTGGTTGCAAGCTAGATTTGCGAGATGAGCTTCACCCTACGAGTCTGGAACAGATGATGACTCCGATCATGCAACAGTTTCGGGAGATTGAAACATGTATGGAATGTTCTGCAGCTAAACTTGTTCAGGTTTGTCAGAATGGTTTAATTTTTGTTGCTTTTGGTTTTATTACTAGTTGGTTTACCATAACTATTAAGGGCTACTAGGTGAATCCCTAAAGTATATCTATCCTCTATCTCATATCTCAAGAAATAAATATTTGAATTTCTATTTATGGTGAACAAAACAGTACTAGTAGGCAATGTATGTTATTAATTTAAAGGTGGTTTTTGCATCTTACCATTTTCTATTCTATTTTAAAAAATGAGATATAATTGACAAACATGTCCTCCTATAAGATAGATGATATGATAAGTGTCACAATAGGAAATATATATTTCAGACATTATGCTATTCTGGAGTGGGCAAATATGATTTTCATACTTCTTTCAGCTTCCTTGCTTTTTAAGAAAAAACAGTTACTCCCATCACAAATATGTTACCGTATTGAAGGATAATAGTTCATGCAGCTTGAGTATTTTTTATTTTGATGATTACTTAGATATTTGAGGCAGCAGACTGTGCTGGTACAACCAAATTTGTAAATTCAGAAATGATAACTTGATATACTCCATTTGAATTTGAGTCTCATAAATCTAATAAGCGAAGAAATTGAAGTTCTTTTTTCTTTTTTTTTTTTTTGTAGATTCCTGAAGTATTTTATTATGCTCAAAAGGCAGTACTTCATCCGACAGCTCCACTGTTTGATCAAGAAACACAGACTCTGAAACCCCGATGCATGAGAGCATTGAAAAGAGTATTTGTTCTTTGTGATCATGATATGGATAATGCACTCAACAATGAAGAGCTGAATGAATTTCAGGCAATTGGTTACTTATCGCCCTTTTATACTTTGAAGTAGTTATTTCACTTTCCTTGGGTCTTTGATTTTGTCAAAAAAATCTGTTTTTTGAGTTTATTTGTGCGGTTGGATATAACTTCGTTGTAACCAATGGTTGATAATATGAATCTTGCTCAACAGGTTAAATGTTTCAATGCTCCATTGCAGCCTGCTGAAATAGTGTGTGTTCAAAGAGTTGTACAAGAGCAGCTACCTGAAGGAGTCAATGAAATTGGGCTTACTTTGACTGGATTTTTTTTTCTCCACGCCCTCTTTATTGAAAAAGGGCGCATTGAGACTACATGGACTGTATTAAGGAAATTTGGTTATAATGATGAACTCAAACTCAGGGATGATTATTTGTCAGTTCCATTTAAAAGAGCACCTGATCAGGTAACTTATATGCAGGGAACTTGCTTTATTAGTTGGCTGTAAATGGAAAACAAACATTGTTTACTGAAAATAAACTTTCGGTACTACAATCATATATGCATATGTTTTCTTCTTTGGATATACACTGTTGTGTAGCTGGTGTTGGAGAAATATGGAATTGATGATTTTGTTGTTATTAAAACATGCTTAAGAAATGTTGTGCCCATTGCACAAGGCTTTTGCCGGTAGCAGGGTTTGGGAGAGGTAAGTAATAGGCAATCTTATCCCCTTTTTGGGAAGGTTGATTTCTGAATTCGTACCTGTGATGTATTACTTGGGTGGATAAGCATTTGTCACTCTAGATCAGACCCTATTTAGAATTTTTGAAATTTCACGTAAAATATTGCATCTGTTTTTTGATGTCTATGCCAGTTATGTATGGTGGGTTGCAAAAGTCATTCAATGGATAAAATTTTGGTACAAAATTACCCTCCCCTTATTGGTTACATATACTATCATGATTTATTTCTTATTCTAACATTACTATGGTAGTTTTTGCTTTTCAAGGCAATCATTTGGTTCAAAATACTTGTTCAATGTTTTTTTTTCTTTGTAGCATGTGGAGCTGACTAGTGAAGCGGTGGAGTTTTTGAAGGGAGTCTTCAGTGTTTTTGACACTGATAAGGTAAGTAGTATTTTTTCATGTATTTATTTGTTAATGAAACGTTAGTCAAAAGTTGATTCATTGTATGTTTTCAATCCATACACTATGGAAACAATGTCATGGCATGATCATGATTTTGTCTCTTTGGTCTTGCGTTAGATTTACTTATTAGTTATTACACTCTTGTCATATCTCTTCTAAAACCATTAATATGGGCTAGCTCAAAATTCTTGACGAATAAAAGAGTTTCTTAGATAAACATTTAGATACACTGGGGGACACAAGATGTACTATTAAGTCTATTATAAAGCACTGACAGCAAAAAGAGGAAAAAAAAGTTGGAGGTCATCCCAAATGTAAGTCATATGGCCCACAACTCTAGGCGTTGGATTTGAGGTGTAAAGACCAGCGCCGTTGATCTATTTCTGGCCTTGAGGCCCATGGCAACTAACTATAAGTCATTTGACCTGATTGCCAACTGGGGATGGCTCGTTGAACTTATTCTATTGCCAATTGCTTGCCAACGAAGAAGAATGTAATTGGTAGTTTTGACCACAATTAACTATCAACACCAGTACATTACTTGTCTGATAGTGACCTTGCCTTGACTGCCAACTAAGGCTGGTAATTCTTGATGTTACTTATATGACTCTACTTCAATTACTGGTGTACTAGCTTGGTAGTATCACCACCCTTATAAAGGAAGTTAGGAGATCCATCGTATCTAAACGTTTTTTGAGATGCCAAGTTTTGAAGAAGTGATTCCTTCATTGTGTGGTGAGAAGCATTCACCTAGCAGTGTGATGCCACAATACCCTAAGAAGATTACCCTTTGGGATTCTGCAATGTTTGCTATCATTTGGGTGGTTTTGTTGGAAATTAACTTAAGAATTTATGAGGATAAATGTGAGGGGCTTGAAGGTTTATGGAACCATGGCATCGATAATGAAAGATTTTGCAAATATGCCTCTTTTTGGAATCTTTGTGAGATGGACAGCTGTTTGTCGTCTTGATGATGAATAACCATACTATACTTTTTTTTTGGATGTACTTCTTCTTTGTTGTGTTGCACTACGGCTTGACAACTTGTCCACTTTTGCTCTCATATTGTACTACATCGATTTCAGTATTAACGTAATCTTTCTTTCCTACCAAAAAAAACCCTAAGAAAATTGATTCTTCTCGTTCTATTGAATTGTCATGTGAGTTGTGCCTCACCCTGGCTTTTCTATTTTCTTGTTTCTAATTTCCAGGAAATCTAAATTCTAGTTTTTGTGCATATTTCCACATTTCCGGTCTCAAACTCCTACAACACCTTAGTCATAAATAATCTTATTTTATTTTTAAGGGATGCCCAACATCATTTTCTCTCATATCCTTTAAAGGATTGATTGAATGCAATAAAAGAAAGAGCATACATAAGTCAAACCTCTTCAACCATTTTATTTATTTTTATTCTTTATAGCACTTATGGTGAAAGGAATTTTGTAATATTTATTCATCTATGTACTCTCTGAGGTTATAAACTTTATAATTGGTGGTTCATTCTAAAGATGGATGGCATCTAACTGCATTTTGTATTCATTTTGTGTGGAAAAACATTTTTAGGGGAAAAGTAATAAGCGAATATATATGAACCTCTCCATCCATTTTCAATTGTGGTGATTTAGGTGAAAAATTCCCATATATCTGATAGTGAAGGGGTATATTAAGTAATGGATCATCTGTCATGCTTTGTCATGCTTACCTTGTTCTTCAGTGTTGTATTACTGCAATGCAAATGTGAATTGATGTTTCCATTCTCTACAACTATAACCAACAAACAGTCTTAAAATTTCTGTTTTTTTTTTTTTGTGAACAATGGCACTTGACAGGATGGAGTTCTACGGCATTCCGAGCTTGAGGATCTGTTTTCAACTGCACCAGAAAGGTTGGTTTTTTAAGCAGCAAGCATTGGCTGTTGGTCTTCTTCCATCATTTAACTGCATTTATGTACGCATAGCTCTTTGGTATATATTGTGGCCATTTCTTTCAGGATGAACGCCAGCTGGTTGTCAGCAAATGTTGCCCATTTGTTTTACATCTCATGTACAATGGATAAGTGTGATGGACCTCATCTGTTACCCGTTTTATTGTTGCCATTCTAACTTAAGTAGACTGTCGAATCTGATCATATAATGCGTGTCATCTGGTACATTTAAGGTGTTGCAGGAGCTCTCTGTCATGTTCTTTAGATGTGGAAGCATTTATTAGACATTCCCAGAAAAAAAAAATAGGCAACACTGTCAAAGCTGCAACATCCAGTCGATTTAGTAAATTAGGTTTACAAGTAGAATTAGCGTTTTGTACTCTTTAAAAATTTCTATTAAAGCAGGATCTTCACTCTATAGGTTGTCTTTTCTTTATTTTTTTTGATATTGTCATTGTTCATGATATATTTTTTATTTTGATTGCAAAAGCACAGTTTTTGGCACAAACGGTTTCTCATGATATCTAGATTTTTGATGCTGTGTGTGCAGATTTTGCAAATGATCTTTATCATTGTTGATTTTTTCACCAGAGTAATTTTCTTACATGACCTTTTTATGTGTTAATTTCAGTCCTTGGAGTGAAGCTCCTTATAGGGATGCAGCAGAGACAACTGCATTGGGGGGCTTATCTCTTTCCGGGTTTCTTTCTGAGGTGCGTATTCCTATTATTCTTGTGATGGTTGTTGCACCATCATGGGGGGTAAAACACTTTCCCAAAATGTTACACTCCAAATATATCTTTTTTTTTGGTTTAGTATCTTGTAAAGGAAATGTTTGTAATACTTGCGTCAAGTATACTTGCTCTTGAGACCTTTCCTTATCTATACTACTTATAAAAGTGACTAACAATGAAAAACTTTTAATTTTCTTTTTTACCCTCAATTAATATAATAAAGTCCATTATATCCTTCATACCCTTTTAACTTCTTAAATTAAATACATAAACCTCTCATATTCCATGATCTACTAAAATTAATTACATTCATAAACATCTATATCTATACTACTTATAACCCTATTTAATTTTTTACTACCAATCATGTCATATTGCATCATTTAATCTCCATTCAATATTGTACCAAATTAACTGCAGTCGTTAGATCAGTAATGGAACCCATTGATCCAACAATTGCAAGTGATTTGATGCAAGATTTGGTACACATAACATTGCTTATATTATATTATCTATCTATACTATTTCTAAACGTCAATACTTGTACAAAACTTTTGATTGAATGTCATTAAAACATGCTAAAAATCAAATAATATCATTTTGTTGTGATTTTTCACTGGCCAGAAGTCTGTCTTGTGTGTTACTGTCAATTAAAAAGACATAACTCTTATAGAATCCTTAGAATTCCATAACTCAGATTCTTTTAGACGTGCAATTTTTATGCTTCTTTATTTATTCTTATTTTTATTTGACAATTTTTTTATGTTTAATTTTGAGTAGTTGGTTTCAAGTAGCATAAACTACAATAGTACTATTTGTTGAAAGCACATAAGATTATGGTATCTACAATGATGAAATTTGTGCCATCCATTACTCTAAACATCAAACTTAAGTTCGGCCACATTAATTTAGAAATCAAACATTGTATAAATTTATACATTAAAACTTAAAGAGAACTAAGTTTTTGGTGCAACAATAATTAAATTATTTACTCGATAAAACAATTCTAGAATACATCATTACATATAAGTTTTATTAAATTATATTTTGATTCATAAGTATATATTTGTTAATATATTTATTTGATTATTTCGTAAGAATAAGAAATAGATATGATCTTAATTAAAATTAAGATAAATCTATAATGCGTATATCCGCCATCAATTGAAACTTAAATAATTTCATGTCTTTCATATTCTCGCTTGTTTTACAATTATGTTATGGACCAAGAAATATGAATTGATCATATAGCATAAAATGTTTATTCATAGCATGCTCGATCCAAGTCATAAAATGTTTATTCATAACATGTTCGATCCAAGTCATAAAATGTTTATTCATAACATGCTCGATCCAAGTCTTTTGAATAAACAATTTTATGAAATATTTTTTTGAAGTGTTTTGAAGATGCTTCGACATTAGCTACGCATCAGGTCTATTTATTAGAAGATTGCCTTTTTTGCATTTTACATAAGAAAAATCAGCAGACACAATTATTGACATATTTGTGATTAGTGGATGAGACTTTAATCGCGAATTTCATTGGTGATCATATTTCAATTTGGAGAAAACTAAAAACCAAAATTATAATTTAAAATTATCAGCGTGCAACGCATTCGTGCATCAACTTGTATATGTAAATATAGGCAAGCCTACTGAGCATAAATTGTTATGTTGGGTGTAATCTTGTAGTAGTTATCCACTTTAGTTTAGAAGTCATCTAAGAATTCCATGTAAAGAAGTCTGGATGTTTTTCTGAATTTATGACATAAGATGTGGACAAGCATGAAATTAAGTGCTCTTCTACTTCTGTCAAGTCTGAACATTTTGTTAGTTGGCATCTTAATCCTTGTAATAGTGCTTCTGCTATTCAGACTGACCATGATGCTGTTTCATAGAGATTGCATTCTCTTGGTGGTTGGTTGAATTTTGTAATCCATTTTTGACACAATTATCAGTTGGTTTGTTCTGGTATGATTAATTATAGCATATCTGACTTTGTATGTTGTTTCAATGAATATATTGGATTGGGGGCTTAAGTAAATTGTTTCACTTTCTTATTGTGTGCTCTTATTTCATCACTTTTGTATGTGGACTGTTACTCATGTAAACAACATGATTGCAGTATAAGACCGTTTACGTGGTACTATGTCAATCATCTTCATTTGTTGACTGTTGGTTGTGTGAACGCATGATTGCAGTGGAACCTAATGACACTTCTGGACCCTGTTCAAAGTTTGGCTAATTTGATGTATATTGGATATGCTAGTGATCCTGCATCAGCACTCCGTGTTACCAGAAGAAGATCATTAGATCGTAAGAAGCGACATACAGAGAGAAATGTGTTCCAATGCTTTGTTTTTGGGCCTAAATATTCTGGAAAGTCTGCTTTGTTGATGTCATTGTTGGGAAGGTGTAGCTCTGAAACTTTACCGCAGTTGAAATAGTTTGATCAGTTCAGATTCAGTTTATGATGGTTTTAAGTTCAAATTTATTTATTGGCCCTGTTCCCTCTTTGAATCTTTCATTTTCCTTCAAAAAAATATATATTCTCTCTCTCTCTTACCCGACAAACAGTTTATTGCTTATTTCTTTTCTCTTTCCTTTCTTCCCCCATGCCAATTAGCCTTATTAAATTTCTTGTTGATGTTTCTAATGACAGGCCTTTCTCAGACAATTATAGTCCGACAAAAAATGAGCATTATGTGGTGAATATGGTTGAATGGCTTGGGGTGAGTACTTTCAAGAGAAAGTTGAAACGTAGTGAGTTGGTAGTTTTGTAGAGTCTCTCTTTCTCTCTCCTCTCTCTTTCATGTACTTATGCTTCATGTCACATCAAACCACAAAGTATAACATATTAAAGGGAAAATACCAATAAGTTCTATTTTTGCTTCAAAAGAACCATCAAGTCCTATCATGTTTACCTTAGGACAATTATGTCCTATTTTTGACAATTTATTCTCAAGAAGTTCTATATTCCATGAATAGTATGTTTTCTTCCAATTTTATCCTTCCCATCAACACACCAATTACAATTTTATCAATAATATTTGTTATTAGGACCCAACGCAAATTATTGTTTTTCTAATTAGTGCATAACACCTAAAATACGTAATTATCAATAAAGATTTATAGAAATGATGAATCATTCAACTGTATTTTTTTTATATTTAACTTTTTTAAACATATAAATTTTGACTCACTTGACTATCAAATCTCAACCATAAAGACATATGAATACAATTATTGAGAAAAGTTCATCTAATTATGTTTTTTTCACTTTTCTTTCCTCATTTTAAATTAATTAAAAAAGAATTATTGTTTTAAGGCAAAAAAGAAAAAGAATCCAAGCATTCAAAGCTACTACATTGTATTTAAGAGATAAAATAAAAAATATTTATTTATCTAATGACTTTTATTCTATGTAAGACTCACTCGCATATGATCTCCTACATGTCAATATGCTGGATGCTTTGATAATTAAAGGTATAGTTTACTTGGATTTTAATTTAAGATAAAAAAAATTATATTTCAATAAATATAATTGAATATAAAATTATAAACAAAATATATAATTTGTGTTTTCATGGGAAGGATAAAATTGGAACAAAACAAACCATTGTTGATGTTTAGGGCTTCTCGGGAATAAATTATTAAAAGTAGGATTTAATTGTCCTAAGATAAATATGATAGGAATTGATGGTTTTTTTGAAGGAAAAGTAGGATTTATTGGTGTTTTCCCCCATATTAAATGAGTGAAGGTGGTGAAAAGTTGTTGAGTATTTTTCATATAATTTACCTATCTTACTTTTTGTTATGATGCTTAAATATGTGCATCTTGATGCATGTAACTTGCTAGGTGCACAATCTTTAGCTTTATGTATTTGAACTGCTTATATACATAGCACATTCATCTCCATGGAGTTTCTGTCGACTTGTTAGATGTTACTGTCATTGCAGGGAACTAAAAAAACCGTTGTTTTGCGGGAGATTCCAGAAGATGGCGTCAAAAAGCTTCTGTCTAATAAGGAATCCTTGGCTAATTGTGATGTGGCAGTTTTTGTTTATGACAGGTGGGCATGTTGTTTATAGATTTGTAACCTTTACTGAAATGGCTTAGTGCTGGAAAATAAAGAGAAAAATGAGAAAAGTTCGCAATAGTTTAAGAGAGACTATTATTGGTATTGTACTATTTGTCAAAGATGAGGTATTTGCAGTGAACCTTCTTGTTGTTGCAACTGCTTATTTCGATCAATTACTGGACTACCTTTCTAGCCTTCTGCCTTTTTCCTCTTCTATGTCATCTTCCTGTAAAGTTAAATCTTCAAGTGTCTTGAATGATAGTCAGTAGTCTTTGTGGATAACATAATTGTTTATCATATTCCCTTTCCCCCACCTGAGTGTATTTGAATATGTATTTTGATTTGCTGATTTGAATACTTTTTGCTTATTTTAGCTCGGATGAGTATTCCTTAAAACGAGCAGCAGAACTGCTGACGGACATAGCTAGACACGGAGAGGAAAGTGGTTTTGGGGTGCCTTGTCTCTTGGTTGCAGCCAAGGATGATTTGGATTCATATCCAATGGCAATAAAAGATTCAGCGAAGGTATTTGACAGCTTTAGTTGCTCCATTTTCTCTGTAACATGCGCATGCAGGAAAAAAAAGGAAGGGTTTTTTGGAGTTTTTTTTTGGCTAACTATCACATTAACTTGCAACTGTCAACTTTTTCTATAGATATCTCAGGATATGGGAATTGATGCACCTATTCGTGTCAGTATGAAGGATAGAGATATGAATAATGTATTCAGTAGGATTGTGGAAGCAGCTGAGCAACCTCATTTGTGTGTCCCCGAGACTGAAATTGGGAGAAAGCAGAAGCGCTATCGCCAGCTTGTCAATCGCTCTCTCATGTTTGCTTCAGGTATGCTTTTAGCTCTTTAGTTATTCATGACTTAATGTTTTGTCTCTAGTGTAATAGTGGTCTTGGTGAATCTTTTGTTTTCCTGGACATTTCAACTGATTTGGATTATTCGACAATGTAAGTGATATCGTACTTGGACCTAGGTGTTTCCTTTCATTTTCCTCCCTCACTCTACACATTATAAAATTTCCAAATTCTAATGGGTACACTTATCTTTTTCACTCTGTTATTTCATTATTGCAGTTGGGGCTGCTGCAGCAGTAATTGGATTGGCTGCATATCGTGCTTATGCTGCAAGGAAGAATACCTCCAGTTAGGTAGAGAGATATTTGCCTATCAAGCAACTGCAGTTGTTGCATCACCTCGACCTTTTGTATAGTCATTGGTTATTCTGCTCTGCTCTTCATTTTCCCCACCATAATTTATAAGGAATCTCAATATGGTTCGTGTATAGAGTTATTTAACTTTTTTTTTTTTTTGAGGCTGAAAGTCAAGTTTGTTTCAGGATGCATTGTTAGTGTTACTGTTGAAAAGTGATGACTCTTCTTTCGCACCACCCTATATACGAGGTGTGACCATGCCCAAGTATCCTGAGCAGTTCACGGAAAAATGCATTGCCATGATTGGGATCTAACCAAATGATGGATGAAAATGCAACCCCTTTGTATTTTATTAAAAGCAGGGTTAGAGTGAACATTTTTTCATTGAGCACAGGACCTTGCCAAATGAAAATGGATGGAGTAATTTAAGCTTCTCAGGTATTCTCTGTGTCCCAACGTTACCATGTCTTTGTTTTAGTGAATCCACTGCATGATGGAAACCAGTTTTACTCGTCGAAGGGTTGAATACATTTTCGATTGTTGGATTGATCTCATCTCTCTAATTTCTAGATGTAGCTGTTGACCGTCCTTCAACTGGATATTGGCTTTCAAAAAGTGTTCAGTGACTCGTACAAGTTACCTGCATGTATATTGGATTGAAATTTTCTTTGCCCATAACGATAGGATGGCAAAGTTCCGAGCATAATTTCCCACTTTAATGGAAGCTAGTTTGTTTCTAACAGTTTTAGCGATTCCCTTCAGTGTGCTTGCTGCATCTTCGGCTTCGTTTCTGAATACTCTGGAATTTCTTTCCCACCACAAGGTGTAGACAGTAGCAGTCAAGACACAATTTCATGACTTTCATCCTTAGAGCTCTACCACTCCAATTTGTAGAAGCATCACGTATAAACTCCTGCCAAGACTTAGGTTGCCATACAGCAGCCCAAATACCAGATGTAATAGGACACTCAGAGAACAGATGCTTATGGTTTTCATCCTCCATATTCAATATGCTGCATATAGGCTCTCATACGATTCTTGTACTCAAACTTTCTCTAATAGCTAACCACAAAATGAAACTCATCCTAGGTATTGACAGTCCATGATATGTACCTGGGGATGCTGAGGGATCAAGCTCCTCAAAGTAGCCCTTGCAGTGTAGCTTCCACCAGAACTAGACAGTCCCTTTGAGATTTAGGCCTAATGATCTCATCCCAAGCAACCTTGCCTTCTTTGCTGCCATTGTCAGTGCCAGCCCACAAAAAGACCTGATAAGCTTCGCAATTCTACTCAACACACCCTTAGGGATAATGAGATGACATAGCCAATAGCTTTGTATGTTGTACAGAACAGACTGGGCAAGTTGTAGTCTCCCAGGGAAGGAGAGAGACTTGTTAACCTAACTCCTAATCCTAGTCTGTCTTGTCAATCAGGTAAGCACAATCACTTGGCTTTAGCTTAGTGGATATTAATGGTACTCCAAGGTATCTTACTGGCAGAGTACCCACTATGAACCCCAAGGATTGCCTAATTAACTCCTTAGTCTCATCCTGGACCACAGCCATGAGGATATGGCTCTTATGAGCATTTGCTCTCATGCCAGACAGATCCTGAAACCTTTCGATGAAAGACTACCATGACAAAACAGTAACAAGTCATCTGCAAAACTAAGCTGCACAATACCCTATTTTTTGCACCTCCAATGATATTTTAAACTTGGTGTTGCGGCTACCTCAGTATTCATAATTTGTGTTAATGCTTCCGTAGTAATAACAAACAGATAAGGGGACAAGGGGTTCTCTTGTCTTAACCCTACGCAACTTGGAAAAAGCTCATTCAATTCACCATTAATTGAAACAGAAAACTTAGGTGTAGAGATGTAGGTGGTAATCCAGGCAATCATGGCTTTAAGAAAGTTGCATTGTCTCATCACTAGGGGTTCGTTTGTTTAATGGGAGAATGATAGAAAATGTAAGAAAGAAATTTTTTTTAACATTTTCATGTGTTTGGTTAGCATGAAAAAGAAAATGATAGAAAAAATAATTTTCTTTCTTCCTTGAATTTTCTCACAAATAATCAACTTTTTTTTCTTGTAAAAAACACAATGAAATGTAAGGAAGTTGTGATATATAACTAACTTCCTATTTTACCTTTATTTTTCTTAAATATCTTATTGGTTATTAATTTTAAAAATTTTTGGTATGAATTTAATTAATCACATAATTTGACCCAAAGACCTTTGTGTTGGTAATTGTCTTAGAATTAGGTTTCGAGTTACTTTTTTAAACAATTTTAACTTTCAATTGTAATAAAGAAAATTTTCTTTTTTAAACCGATTTAATATAATTAAAGGTATTTTAAACAATTATAAATTTTTTTTTATAACTTTACTTTCTTTCAAACAATAGATTGAAATTGTTTTAAAATTTTCCCGTAAATTTTTCATTCTAACCAAATACATGCATGAAAATATATTTTCATTCATTTTTTTTTCTTTTACTTCACTTTCTATCATTTTCACTTTCCATAATTTTTTTCTTCCTAATCAAAAGGACTCTAGGAGCAAAATCTCCCAATCAAGAGTGTCATTGGCTTTCATCTGGTCTATCTTGATAGCACACCTAGGAGAGCCTGCGTCTAATTATCACCACAACTAGCATCACATTATCTCCAATTCCCCTCCCTGGGACAAAAGCAGCTTGGTTAAGATCAATAAGCTCATGCAAAACAGTCTTCATTCTACTTGCAATTTGCTTGAAGACGATCTTGTAGAGTGTATTGCAGCATGATATTAGGCCTATAGTCCCCCATTCCTCGAGGATTTGAGACCTTAGGCACTAATGCGATGATGATATTATTGATTTCTCTCAGTAGAACCAGTCATGAAGAACTCCTGCACTGCACAGATTATATCAACCCCAATTATGGACCAAGCTTTCCTGAAAAAAACGACCAGTACATCCATCAGGCCCAAGTTCCTATTTTGGATGGATTGAGAAGGCCACAGCTTTAATTTCCTCCTTTAAAACATTCCTGGCCATTTGTAGACTCCTGAGATTTAAACTCCCAACTTCCTAGACCTTGTTCAAAACACCAGGCAATTGCCCCCCCCCCCCCCACCCAAAAAAAAAAACCGTTATAATGATCAAACACCACTTGTTAGACCTGCAACTATCTACTGTTTTAAAAGGATATTTTCTTGGCTTCTAAGATCATTATCCAAAGGTTGCTGGTCCAATTGTTGTTGTACTTGGTCCAACTCCATTTTGACAGCTTTGGCTTTCAAAGTAACATCCTCAGTTTGAGGCTTGATCATTCTCTTGAATTAACTTTTCAATAGTTTCAGCTTTGCAGCCACTTGAAATCTGTTTAGTCCCCTTAATAGCTTGGTGGATGGTTGGTGGAGAAGTAACCACAATTTTATCTTGGAGAGTTGGGGAGAAGTAACTAAAACTGTTTAGTTATTAAAATACTCGTAAAACATTTTAGAACAATTATGAGGCAATAAAAACGACAAATTATATTTTACACCCTTAAAATTTTGAGAATTCTCATTTTGTACTCTGAAATATTATATTTTTCACATTACACCCTCAATGGATTTAAAGTATTGTAATTTAGCCATTTGTTAGTTTTTGTTACTCATTCTGTCAATACAAATGAGGTGATTTTTGACGGAATAAGCAACGGAAAGACCTTATTATAACACTTTTAATATATTCTTGGTATAATATAAAAAATTTAATTTTAAAGTAAAATTCTCCCCAATAAAAAATTTCCAATTCAGTCCCATTAACTCAATTTTATTAAATTAATTATGAAATATAAAACAAACTCGTAAAAAAGAGAGAGGAAAGAAGGGGGCCGGGGAGGTTAATAAGCCCCCAGGGGGAATAGATAAGTCCTTCGACTGCTTGCACACTGTCTTTGCACGTCTAGTTTGGCGTTTGAGTTTCGTTATTTAACAAAAAAATAATTAATAATAATAATAAAAGTCTTCATGTGTCACATGTTAGCCTCTCTCTTCTCTAATGGATTTTCTGTCCAGAACTGTATTGGACTTATCCGGCCTAGGCACTGATACACTCCTAGCCAAACAAAACTCAAATGATAAGTTTTTTTGGTGACAAACCTAAACTATAAATTTATATACCTTGAGTTTGAAATTTGATAATTTTTTTTTTCTTATAAATTCTCTAGTCTCGACATGAAGACATGTTTTTAATCAAATCAGAGAAAAAATTAATCGAGATTCGTATATGTTAACGTATACACTTTTGATTATAATAAAAATAAAAATAAAAATAAAAGTAGCCAATCAGACTGTGACACGGATTTGCCAAAAGACCATGACCGTCAGTGGGCTGCTCTGAACTTTTCTGCCACAAAAAGGTAACGCAATTGATGTGAAAGAAAACAATTTTTGGGAGATCAACTAGGGTTAAAAAGAGGATCTCCTTTTATTCATATCCATCACTCTCGAGAAGCAACTCTGTACAGTTGAGTCTCTCTCTCTCTCTGTCTTTGCTGATGCATGGAGAATCTAATAGAGGCGTGAGAAAAATATGGCAGAAACGTATCTGAGAATTTGTTTGTGATGACAAAGTAAGATCTTCTGATGTAGTTCACACACTGACACACAAACATATATATATAAAGAGAGAGAGAGAGAGAAAGAGAGAGAGAGAGAGAGAGAGAGAGTGAACTATAGTTAATTTGAGTTGTTTATGCCAAGAAAGAAGCATGCATGAGCTGTGGTGGTGCTACTGCTACTGATGCTGTGATGAAGGTTAAATTAATTGGATGAAAGCATTGAGAAACATATAGACGACAATATTCGAATACACAGTAAGCATAATATTAGATTCTTAATACTGTTTTAGATGCCTATTTGCGTTTTTGGATAATCGAGAATTATTCTAACTACATATTCTTCTCTTCGGATTTGTAGTTATGATCGAGATTCTAACGTTTCTAACCATACAATCCAAACTACTTTGAAAGTTAAAAAAACCACTCCCCCAAGCTCATAGTTTCAACAATAGGATAGGGCTACAAAGCATTAGCTTTCACTTTTTCCTGTTTTTACCACCTTTCTCTCTTATTGCTCATGCAGGATCCAAAAACTAAGGCGAAGAATGAGGGGAATGACAATTATATTGCATTGACATAATAGAAAATTCTCGTGTCGGATTTATCTCTCGTGAATATCTTAGTTCTAACATGGATGATCTGTCTTTGATTAAACTAAAGTGAAGATTAGTCGAAATACGCATAAACTAACCCAAATATCTCTTACCGTTAAAAAAAAAAAAAAAAATTTGCAGTGAGATATGGTATGACAATGCTGAGAGACACAAAGACCAGTTTAAATCATAGCATTATACGATGTCACAAGTCTATGATTGGAATAGCCTTGATTGAAGGTCGTCACCAGGCACATTGAACTTAAGATTCTCCAAATTAATTATATGATAGTCACAACACAAAGTCTATATAATAGCGATTTG